ATAATCCCCCCTCCACCAAACTTTACACTTGGCACAATGCAGTCAGGCAAGTACCGTTCTCCTGGCAACCACCAAACCCAGACACGCCCATCGGATTGCCAGACAGGGAAGCGTGATTGGTCACTCCAGAGAACACGCCTCCACTGCTCTAGAGTCCAGTGGCGGCGTGCTTTACACCACGGCATCCCACGCTTTGCATTGCACTTGGTGATGTGCGGCTTGGATGCAGCTGCTCGGCCATGGAAACCCATTCCATGAAGCCCTCTACGCACTGCTGTTGTGCCAACCTGAAGGCCACATGGAGTTTGGAGGTCTGTAGCTATTGACTCTGCAGACAGTTGGCGACTTCTGCGCACTGTGCGCTTCAGCATGCGCTGACCCCGCTCTGTCATTTTACGTGGCCTACCACTTCGTGGCTGAGCTGCTGTTGTTCCCAGTTGCTTCCACTTTGTTATGATCCCAGTAACAGGTGACCGCGGAATATTTAGTAGCCAGGAAATGTCACGGAACACCTGAATCCAATGATTTGGAGGGGTGTCCCAATACTTTTGGCAATATAGTGTATGTATCTAGGAGCCCCTTCTACAGTTACATTATAACCGCTCTTCCAGCTTGGCAGCGGGAGGAGTGTTGCCCTTTCTCCATCTGTAGGTTGGCAGCGCCGAGGGAGTTGTGATCCCGATCAGATTTCAATGTCTGCCTATTATTCCATCAGCTTGTTTCCCCCTGCTCGTAGCAGGCCCATGCTGCGCCGTGCACTTGCCATACACAAAGCACTTTTTTTTCCGCGGACAAGAAAAGCACTGCGGGGCGGCGGGGCGAGAGCGTGACCAGAGTACTGCCGGGGAAAAAAAAAGACTCTGACTAGTCTGAGTCTACGACGTCGTTCGGGCCCCGGGGCTGAGAGCGAGAGCCGATTTGAGCAGGCCGCGGCGGCGTGGCTGGTTGCATTGTCTGCGCTCTGAGTTTTCTTGTGTTCCGGAGATGCGTGATGTGATATGAGCGGCTCAGACAGCGTGACCAAATTACATAATGAGACTTGAAAGCTTTGCACAGGAAGGCGGACAAGAGGCGGCGGGCTGAGCCGGGCCGATCGACATATCTCCAACTGTCCTTGTATTGGGCCCAGATTCCCCTTCCCTCCCCCTCCTCACATGAATATGCGGCTTACACGCCAAAACTATTCCAGCTATAAGGGCTTTGCGCGCAGGGACGCAGATACAGGCGTGCGGCATAAAATGCGCCTACGTTTGCGGTAAATGGGGGCCCCAGCTGCTGTGTGTTTCTGCCTCTAGGATTGTATGGACAGAATACGCTGAACACGGGTATAGACGTGTAGACGCAAGTGTCGCCATTTACGCATGCACCATCGGCTTCTGTCTGTACAATCCTTCAGACTGAAAAACGCAGCAGATGGGCCCCCCCGGGTGCCACCAATGCAGGCCCATACACTTGTATTTGCTCCGGGGGTTATTCTTCTTCTGCTCTCGGGGTTATTCTTCTTCTGCTCTCGGGGTTATTCTTCTTCTGCTCTCGGGGTTATTCTTCTGCTGCTCTCGGGGTTATTCTTCTGCTGCTCTCGGTTATTCTTCTGCTGCTCTCGGGGTTATTCTTTTGCTGCTCTTTGGGTTATTCTCTTGCTGCTCTCTGGGTTATTCTTCTACTGCTCTCGGGGTTATTCTACTGCTGCTCTCGGGGTTATTCTTCTGCTGCTCTCGGGGTTATTCTCTTGCTGCTCTCTGGGTTATTCTTCTACTGCTCTCGGGGTTATTCTACTGCTGCTCTCGGGGGTATTCTACTGCTGCTCTCGGGGTTATTCTTCTGCTGCTCTCGGTTATTCTTCTGCTGCTCTCGGGGTTATTCTCTTGCTGCTCTCTGGGTTATTCTTCTACTGCTCTCGGGGTTATTCTACTGCTGCTCTCGGGGGTATTCTACTGCTGCTCTCGGGGTTATTCTTCTGCTGCTCTCGGTTATTCTTCTGCTGCTCTCGGGGTTATTCTCTTGCTGCTCTCTGGGTTATTCTTCTACTGCTCTCGGGGTTATTCTACTGCTGCTCTCGGGGGTATTCTACTGCTGCTCTCGGGGTTATTCTTCTGCTGCTCTCGGTTATTCTTCTGCTGCTCTCGGGGTTATTCTCTTGCTGCTCTCTGGGTTATTCTTCTAC